AATAATACAGTGCATTGGCCAAGGCGACAGCACTTTATTTAAGAACAAAGAGAGAGAGAGAGAGAGGCAAAGGAAATAGGGCCAGCACGTTATTAATTAAAGAAAAAAATGTGCCTTTCTGCTTGACGTAAGAGTGTAGTGAATCACCAAAATTTCTCATTGTTGCAGAAATCACATGAATTGTCGTGAAGTAGGACTGAAACCTTTATTGCACGTAAATGCTGATGGCGAAGGCGTCTAAAACACCCTCAACTGCCATCAAGAGGGAGACGTAGAGACAAGAAAACGATGAAAGGCAAAGGAGGCATCGGTCCATTTCCTATTTAAGTAGTAACTGTCAAATCAGACTTTTTTTTGCGTAGGAGGGATTACGTGGATTTTCAGTAGTTGACTACCTTTAGTGGATAAATTTTTTTTTAATGCAAACACTGACACCAATGCAGACAAGGTGAAATAGTGCTAGGTGTGCCGTAGTACGCACTTGAGGCGAATGCAAAGTGCTGTGGAAACGGTGAAATTCAATTTTATCACCCCTAATTCACTCACTCTGGCACAGGCGTACATACACAGGCAGTGCAATGCTTTAAGTGGGAATTTGCAGTAAGATAACACTTAATTTTCCTTGTTGTAGGTAGTTGTAGAGGATGTTACCACTAAAAAGGTTTACACTTTTCCGTGTGGACAATGGCTAATGCCTGGAACCGACGGTGCTATGGCTTCGCGCTACTTCTTGGTGTCTCGTTCAAGAACCCTGACTCCCACAATTGCACGTAAATTTGATGTCATTTTCTTTTTACTGTTTCTAAACCAAAACCAAAGAATTGTAGTAGGGAGGGGAGAAACGCCTCCATTTAATGTTTCACCTTTAGTAAGTGTGTGGAGATTGTCATCGCGGTTTGTATTGTGGGATGCACATTTTCATATGTTGCCATGAAAGTGGACTACTTTGTACTGTCTTTGTTTTCTTTAGGTCAACAATTTGAAATGACTTTGATGTCTAGAGCAGAAAAGCGTCAAGGAAAGCCAACTGATGTCTACTTTCGCCTTTTTGGACCCAAAGTGAAGCAATTTGATGGGGAATCGTTTAATCACTCAATTCGGAGGGGCAAATTCACATCACCGCACAGTCGGTGTTCACCCATCATCTGCATTCCTAGTGAACAGATAAATATTAACGGAAAGACTCTAGTTACTTTCACCATTGACGGCTGTCAACGCCTTTCTCCAAGCTCCCAACTCGCTCTGGGCCATGACGCCCCCGTCGAAGCAGCTGATTGGCTACTTGAAAAAGTTCATCTTCCCTCAGCCTCTTAAGCCATCTTCAATCCCTTCAATCTACTAAAAGTCTTTTCTGCTGGTTGTAGGTCCAGCTGAAGTGCTTAAACACTGGAATTACGCAGACATTTTGGTGCAAAAAGTGGTTCCCGTTTTGTGACAATAAAGAGAGGAAAAAAGTTGTTGGACCGCAGTACACTGTCTTGATGCCCAAGAGGACACCAGGTGACTTCATTTGATACACTTTATTAAAGCATGCAAAATTTATCATTCTGACATTGTAAAGAGGCGAATGATGGTAATTTTAGATGCAAACTGGAGAGTTGAGGTGTACACAAGCAACTTGGCTGGTGCAGGCACATCGGCCCGTGTCTACGCCACTCTTTATGGAGATCGGGGAAGAAGTGATGAATTGTGGCTCAACGAGACTCTCGCGTCCAACAAAAATGCCCTCTTCCAACAAGATTCGTGTAGTATCTTCAAGTTAAACTTACCCTCCATTGGCAGTCCATACAAAATGCGCATTCGACACGACGCTACTGGCCCTTCACCAAACTGGCACCTTGAAAAGGTAACGTCTACTTAATGCTTTGTCAATAGCGTTAGTCACTAATGCAAATTTTGGCTCTTGTAGGTTGTTCTACAGCATCTTCCAACTAAAAAGACGTATCTTTTCGTATGTGATAAGTGGTTGGAGTCGGAGAATGCTGAGGAGTCAGTTGTATATGAAATGCCAGCATTCGGCTTGGACATTGCCCATCCTGCATCAGGTGAGGCTGGAGGGTTGTTTTTTATCGGACTTTCTTCTTAAGCCTAGTTCTGCACACTTGAAGAGTTCAAGCGAAGGTAAAATTGGTTAAAACAGATCCAAAACGTGTTTTGCATAGATTTCAATAACTTTCCTGTGGTAATTGTTGCTAAACTAGTTTGACAATGGTGTAGCAGGATCCTTCCGTAATGCAATGCAATCTTCCTCGTAATTTTGATCAGAATTTGTGCGTCTGTGCGACGCCCAATTAAAGCATTTTTGTTCTGGACATATGTAAAAAGACATTTTACCAGGATGTTGGCTTAACGTATTTATTCGAGACCAATTTTAGGGCTACATGTTTTCTGGTGACTGCAGACAGTTTTTCTCCACCAAAACTATGCACACTGAGTGTAAAAATAGTATATGAGAAGTGTTACTGAAATGGATTTAAAAGTAGTATAACATGGGAGAACTTTTGAAATGTGCTTTAGCCTCTCTGATGATGTAGAAGTAAATTTATGCATCTACGTAGCATGTAAATGGCATAGCTTGGTTTTGGAATGCTACAAAAAAGCTGTCTGAGGCTATAGTTTAGTAGCCTGAAAAATTTATAAAATTTATTCTTAGGTGTTCTTTGGCAATAACATATGCCTCAATATTCTTTGATGGATTAGCTTTGCAAGTCAGTGTCTAATATCAAACCTAATTCTTTCTCTCTTTAAGACCATGAATTTTTGTTTTAAAATCTACCTTGTGGTATCGCTACTTAAACAATTTTTAAAGTAGTATAACACCGTGTTTCTTTTGAAATGTAATTTAACCCTCCCTGTGGTGCGGGAAAATCACCCGTATAGGTAGAGCAAACTGACTATTTTGTTATCGGATTGCAGTTAAATTCAGAAGTACGTGCACATGCTATGGTGTGGAAATCTGTGCAATGAAGTGACAATGCCTTTTCTTTATCTACATCAGTACGAACATACCGAGTGACTGTGGCAACTGGGCAACAGTCAGTGGAAAATTTGGATTCCAATGTGCATATAAATATCTTTGGCAGTATGGGTGATACAGGCATTCGAAGCCTACGCAAAAAAGGCGCGTTTTCACGAGGAAAGGTACCGTTTTTCTTCACTTATTTTATTTTTGCGGCCCTAAGGCTAATCTGGTTTCGGACATTCTATCAAGTCTCCATCCCCTCTTGACGGTTGATTGCTCCATAACAGG